TATAAAGACTCTAATGACTGATGCCATTCCGTACGTTTGTTTAACTATTTAATCACATTTCTACATTTCACTATCGCGTTTTCGACGTCTACGAAAAGACATGAGTGAAGAATCCATCTATGCCAGTCATCTAATCATTTAGCCCAAATCAAATCCTTATAACAGCACATTTATTTTCACTTTAGCGAACCGTTATTTAAGGCACATATCTCCTTTATCTTCTTTGAGGCAACTGAAAGTGATAAAGAGGTAAGCACCATATCAATAAATTAGAATTGTCTCAGATCGTTAGATTGCTAAAGTTTCCGACGCGCCTTCATTGAAAATCAATTTTAAACGGAAAACATCCGACTAAGTTAATATGAGATGTGAATTTATTTTTAAAAGTTTCGAAGTCATCTAATGGTTCTTGATCCAGTAGGAAACTCTCTGTCTTGTTGCGCTTCTCATAGTTGAACAAGTACTTAAATAGGACTGAATGATTTTTTCTCAAATTTGCATGTACTGCGTGACTATTAGACACCCTTTCAAGTTCTACACGATGAAATTTAACCAATTGGTAAAAAACGACGCCAATGCAATGGTCATCCAACACTACTGAGATCAAACTCCAACAGAAGTTTTTACGGAGGCGCCAATTGTAATTTGAGTTTTGGTGAAAACTCTACTTTTCCAGGCCGGAATATTTAAATTTGTGAAGGAGCCTTAGACACTGCAGTGTTATGAAGTTATTTGGTTGAAAAAAATCATAGCTACATAAGTCTTGGTAAAATTGGTTGCGTATACACTCTAAATGAATAAATACAGAGTCGTCACCAATCGAAGAGTGCCTTATCTCACTTTGTCCGCTTAGCATAGAGCATTGCATTATGAATTACAATTCGTGCATTTAGCATGAGCATGAGTTTTGATCCTGTACCTATTAGTGATTCATCAGCTTAAGTTCCGATTGCAATCGCAATTCTAAGTTAGGACTCCAAAGATCGGGAGATAAGTTTTTTCCAGTAAAATCAAGTTCCTTGTTGGAAACTTCCACTTTGTCTCTGCTCTTCTTAGTAATGCACATTACGAGTACATCCTAATAATTGGAATATTATACTTAAAAGACTGACTTATGCCGCCCGATTAATTTTCCCTATCCTACAAAACGTAGATAGGTATAGTTAACTAGAATTTTAAATGTTGGCAATCTGGATCTTTTATCGCCTTAATGTTAAGGTACTGCAAATACCGCCAAGAATAAATACTAAATCAGACAATGAATCTAGTGAAGAAGGAATTGAAATGGCATTTAGTAAAATTCTGTGCTAATGAATAATAAGGCTTCACTACTAGTACAACCCATACTCAATTCATTACCCTTATTTAGTCCAGTTTTGTCCAATATCAACACTGCTAGAATATTTTAATCATATTCATAATTTAATTTTCATTGTTAAATACATTATACATCCCTTTTTATCGTTGCAGGTGGAGTTATGGTTATCATAATGGGGAGATTAAAACAACTTCGGAGCCCCCTTATTTGGACGTGCCAAATATTCTTCATTTCCTACCGAAATTCGGTCTGCCAATCTGAAGATTAGTGCCATGAATAGAACAAGAAGGGAAGCATGCGTAACAAATACACAATTTAAGATTTTACAATTTCGTAATAAGAGGAATGAATAATTGGATAATAAAATAAGAGGACTTACCGATCACAAAGAGTGATTATGGAGCCTTTCTGGAACTTCTGACCTATTCCATGAACCACAAAACAGAGATGAGAGTAGACAGGTGGTGGGGTGTTTGGATCAGCCTCCTCAAAGTAGCCCCGACCCAAACGAGTTCCAACTGCAAGGTTGAAGAAACGTAAATTAATAGGCGACTGAAAAATCGATCACTGAAATAAACAAAAATTAAGGAAACCGATTTTAGCCATATAATTCATTTATGCAATCTTTTCTGCAAGTAAAAGACTATGCTCCAATAATGTCTAATTTGGCGGAAAGGAAAAGGAGGGTTGGATATCGCTTCTGAGTAAGGTTACAGACGTGGCTTACGTAAAGGATCGATAAGACACACTCACAAGACTTTACAAAATTATCAAATGCATTCAATCATCAAAGAGCCTAACGTCGCACGAAGAAACTCCGATAAACAAGCACAAAAATCAACTAATTGGGTTGGTTGATCTTGGCTTAGCGCGTTACCAGCCCACGTTATGGAAGAACAAACACACCATCACTTAGTGAAGAAAGAGAAAAAAGTTCAATTAATGCATTTCCATTGACGAGATCATTGCAGACAAGATACTGCTTAAAATCAGAAAGTTAAATAAACAATAACTGGATTGGATGTCACTTTGTGAGAATTAATCCACGCATCGCCATCACTGCTCCTTCGATATAAAACGAATTTTCTCTCTGGGAATGATCAGGTCATTGGTAGTAAGTGATATTAGCTACCTCAAATCGATCTAACTGTTTGAAGAAGGCAAAATTTATTCAAAAATGACGTCATGGTTAAATTTTGCCAAGGACCAACTTGATGACAAATTTTCAAACGCATCTTTATCCTATTGCAAGTTTATGACTCCCTAATGCGGTAATTTCTTTATAACAGTAATTTCATTGATAACACTTAGATTCAAAGGTCACTAACCTCCAAAACCCATTCAGAAAAGCGTTTTACAATATCCTTCTAGGTAAATAAGCAGAAGAGTGGATTTTTTCTAGAATGGTAGTCTAATTCCGCCACCATTCTTAACCAATGCTATTTCTCGTTCCGCTCACTAGGTATGCATCAGTGGACATCGAACCTGTGACCTCTAACTTCGTAGATGAGTCGCTCCGTGCTATCGGTACATCTCACTGTCCCACCTATTTCAAGCACATGCAACATAACTTTGTTCAATTGGTACAATGCCAACCTTTGACAGAACTCAACAATCTCAAGAACTTCAGCTTAATAAAATACCTTCATTCCATTTAAGTAGAGTATGGTGGTATATCTATCACATGTTAAAGATGAAACTTAAACTGACAAAGAATGCATACATGATTAGTGGGATATTTTAAAATGAAGGACAATCGTGAGTCACAAGATCGCTCGCTATGTGTAAAATCTGCACGTAGAATCACCCATCTGTAGTTGATGTAGCTCATATTAACCCGATTTGCCTTGAATCTTGCACATAGGGGCATAATATTGACAGGGGAAATGTAGTAATCGGATAGTTGCTATGCATACTGAACCAATTGTTATTGCCTGAGTGAAATGGACGAATTTAATGACTTAGAAAGTTGACCTCACACAGACAACGGCGTCTGGGAGAGACGATTCAGTGAATCTTGTTAACACATTGTGGTTTGAAGGTTATAATGGGAAGCTCACAATAATCAATAAGTGCTAATGAAAAGAAAAATTAAATGAAATGTCAATGCGGTGGAAATAAAATCTTAGGGAAAATGTTTAACTATTTCCCAACCCCAATCCCCCCCCCCTCAATTGGTTTACTCCTTTGTTAGTTTAGAGAATTTGACAGTCATATGCAGAGAGTATGGACGGAAGTGCAGAACGAATGCAGCATATAGAGTTGGCTCTGAAATACGCTATCAAGCTATAATGATATTGAAAGTCAGTCGCCAGCACGTAACAGGCATGCTAACTTTCTCCTCTAAAATATTCCCACAAACTACAAGCCTACGACAACCAATCATACAACAGGAGATAAGGACAAGGCGTATAAAATGTTTGACAAAATGGCCTATTCTATCAAAGAAAAATTAAATTAACACCTAATTATGAATGGATCCTAAAGGTGCATAGTTGTTAAAATGTGCCAGATCGCAGGCTCGTTGTTTTACGCAATTTTGGAATAAGGCCCACCAGTGGGACAATTACGCGTTGTGATTAAGTTCTAAATTTGTGACAATTTGGGATGCCAATTAGTTTATTACAATTGCAAACAAAAGTGATATCAAATTCTCAGCTTACCCTTTTGCATCCCTAACTTTTGTCGTATGTAGAAGCTGGGACCTTCCATGAAGAGATACAACTCGTCAAGGGAATACCAATCCACATGACAATCGGGAAATTTCAAGGTGTATACGCCTGAAACAACAACAAAAAGAGGTGTTATATTGCATACTGACTTAAGAGGAAGAAATAGAGGAACTGAAAATAAGACTAGTCGTATTAAATTCGATCGCAACAAGTGTACTGAAAAATAAAATAGAAAGTTAAGAACGAATATCATCCGTTTATTTATGAAGTTGGTATGAGGGGGTGTGCGATAGACTTACCTCCACGTGGTGCACCCTGGGCAACGTATACTCATGCGGCAAAAAAGTCTATTAATCGGCAGTTTACTTCTCACTTCAAACAACCATCACCCCCACTGTATGTCATATTCGACCCCTATCACTACTCATCTTACCCTTTCTGAGCCTTTGTGTCTGTTTCTTTTACATCTTTGAAACACCCTTCTATTCCCCCTCCTGAATTCTTCTCAATTTGATGTTCCCCCTCCCCTCTGTGAAGCCCGAAGTCAACTAAAAGGGCTAATGATAACTATCAAAACGCCTGTCATTTGTTATAAATAACTAAATGGAGTTGGTATGAGTAAGTCCTGTCTGGCAAGCGAATNTACACACGGTTCCATTTCCTCTACCCTTGTGTCTGTCTTCCTTTTGCACATGTGAATCACTCTCTCGATTTTCTGTGACTTTGATGTTCTTCCTCCCCTCTGTGAAGCCCGAAGTCACTATAAGGGCTAATGATAACTATCAAAACGCCTGTCATTTGTTATAAATAACTAAATGGAGTTGGTATGAGTAAGTCCTGTCTGGCAAGCGAATGTATGCCTTTGAAGTTCCTAACTTTGGGGAGAGGTAAGAAGAATTCGGTTAAGGTTTTATGGACGTTTAGGTTAATTTCTCAGCTCATGTACGTCCTAAACTAGTAGTTTTCTTTCCACACCCCACAAAAATGAACAGGTGTTTCCTTAAGAAGTTACCCAGAGCCTCAGCATATTTAGCAAAAGTAAAGCGTTTGATATGCTTCTGATGGACATTTCAAGCATGAAAGCACCAATAATTACGTTTTCAACCAAGTTAAGTCATAAATCAACCATTGGAATAGTAAGTACTATTCTTTTCAAACCCCGAATAATGCATACTGACAAAAATTAGTGTTTATGAAAAACTAATATCGCCCCCATTTGTAGAGTGTAAAATACAGAGAGAGGGTACTAGACGTAATTAATAGTAACACATGATCAGAAGCATTTATTTATAAAGTTATATCGGTATTCCTTAGTAAGTTGCGAATTCAGTTGACTTGGATTGAAAACTAGCAGCCAGCTGAGGCAGTCTTCTGGAACAACCAGAAGATCCAAAGCACATCTTAACTAGATCACATTTTTGTATACAAAATTGAGTACTAGTAAAACCTATCCCTTTCATCTTTTACGGGACGGTAAATCGCTAGAGGTGAAACAAACGAATCTGGAGAAATAATCACTGAAAGTAATGAAATTCATCTAAAGGAGGCTTCAAGAAGGGGGTAGCAGCTTCCTGAACTGAATCCCGGTGTAGGTACTAGAGAGTAACAGTAAATGGAGATCTTCCCCATGATATCAAAAGTTACTGGCGCATAAAAGCGTTCATGGCGTCCAGAGCGAAAGTTCCGAACCAAGAAAAATAAAATTTCAATTAAGTCCCATATATCCTTCCCATATATCTGTATCAATGACTTGTTCACGTAATTTTGACATCATAATTGCCTAATTTTGTGCGCTCTCAACCTACCCCCATCTCGCTTAACTGGAATATAAGGCTTGCAACTCGTGAAATGACAGGATAAAAAGTATATGAATTGAAAGAGAAACAGATATGGAAAGCATGTGCATAATATAATGGAATGCCTAAAATAATTACTTGAGAGCAAGCCAACCTCAATATGATTTATACTTTGGATATAATTTAACTATCACATTCACTCAAGGGAGGGGGAGGGAAGGTAAAATATGTAGACCCTGTTCTTGAAGAGTAAGTTAAATTTTCATGACCACGGGGTGCGATTAGTTCCTGTCTTGTAAAAAACCAACGACGATCGGAAGATGATTGGACTATATTATTTCAAAATCTGAGGAAACTCATTTAAACTCCTGTGGAGCGCACAACGCTGCCAAGGCTTATCAAAGGAATCTCTCCTTTGCGGTAGTGCGGCCGCACGTGCAGAAACGTCTCTGCCAACCAACCATTGATTTCAGCAACATAGAATAGCAGATATTGCAGTTAATTAAACAGTTTTCACTATTGCAACACAAATTATGATTACACGATAAACGAAGCCGAAGAATAAATAGATTAGATCCGCGAATAAAACTGCAATCACCAGAAAATGCATAAAGATCATCCTATGATGATAATCTAGCATTCCCAAATCAAGGCTCGCAGCAAATTGAAAATACGGAAGGGATATTTTGAAGCTAATAAACTGCAATAAGATTTACAAATAGAGAGAGAGAGAGAGAAATGGCTAATCCGAGTAAGGAGATGCTATGCATTGTGTCATAAAACAACTGGAACTTTCACATTCTTCCTTATTCCAATTTGTAGCAGATTTAATTCCCAAAGCTCTTCGCAGTGTGCTTAATGCTTAATTGAGTATCTAAAATAAAACCTCCACCAACCAAAATCTAAGTTTACGGAAAATGTAAAGCCAAACTTTTAAAATGTAAGGTGAATAAACAAGACGAAGCACTTAATAGTGAAGAGAAAAAAAACAGACATTTTGTGAGAGATGTACCCTATTTTATTAAAGGACGTGTGGTTAATGAAAGGATGAAAAGACGAGGAATGACGTAGCAGTTGAACGAAATCCAATGAAAGAAACGTAAATAAATATTGGCAGACACGGATCAACTTACTGGGTTTCTATCATAGTAACAAACCATCTCTCTTTTTAAGCACCTAAAGCAACGAGTTGGGCAAATGATTGCGCTCTCATGCCGGAGGGAGGTAAAATTTGTCCAGATAGATCTACGTTAGATCCGTTTTCCGCTCAGAAGATACGATTGCTATCAGTCCTAATGATTAAATTAGTGACCAAGGTTCTTTGAATTTCAAAAATGAATGCTTCTCGTCAACAATTCCAATCAGCGTAATGTGAGAGTGCTTAGTGATGAATGTAAATGTCTAGAAACATTCATTTTTAGCGTAGATAGGCGATGACAAAACTCTATCATTGCGTTCTCTGCATTTGCACTGACCTAGCAGATGTGGGCGTTAATTAGCGCGCCGAATTGGCAAATTTGTGAACAAAAAGATAATTATGATTAAATGACAAAAGCCACGAAAACTTGATTCAAATTAATATCATACCTCTCCTAACTCAGAGTTTGACCTCCATGACCATGTCATTTCTAACTCTCCGAAGTATCCTATTGCTTTAAAATACAATTTCGTAAATAGAATAAGCGTTCCCAGGGGAGCTGTATTGAAGAGTAACTATTTTACTACCCCATTTAACTAGTTTTAACCACCACAGTTGGTATACGTCTCAGTAGCTATACACATCAATCAAATGGCTTTCGGCTTGAGTATAAATCGATATAAAATAGCGAAAAAAAAGAGCGAAAAGCACATGCTAGTTGATAGCATTAGCTAAATATCTAAAAAACGCTGTCATCACAAACATGAAGCAAGATTAAAGTGTGAATAATTGGGCATATGAAAAACAAGGACCTTCAAAAATCTGTTAATTACATAAAGACAATACGAAAGAGACGAGAAGGGTGGGGGTTGCTAGACATGTAGATAAGTAAAAGTGTGGTTGAAAGTGATGTGATTTCTACACTTCACATACATTGATTTTATATTATAAAATGATGAACAGATAGTGAATATTACAAGCAGATGGTGAAATATCGACATTTTAAGGAAGTATTCTAGAAATAAGGAAATTGCTGATCTGGCAAATGGTTCCTGAAGTTAAGTAGAATAGACGGACAATACAATGCATTCAAGAGACACGAGAATAAGTCTATGTTGAGTACAAAATCTCCTACCTGTTTTGAACTTTAAACTGAAACAAATGCATTCACTTTGCCGATACGAAGAATTGGCTACTATAAAAATTGGAAATTACTCGTACATAATTATGAATCGAAGATCAGTGTCAGACGCGACCGCCTTGTAAACCTTTAACCAAGCTGGTGACAAATAGGCCAATGAACATAGAAATAATACATGAAAATAATAAAGCTTGTTCTATGGTCAGCCAAAATTCCCCATTTATTTCACGGAGCCAACCAATAAATTGCAAATAAGAGGTTCATAACATTTTAGAAATAATAAATAGGTTACTCGAATAGAACAAAAGGTTCTAAATTGTACGCTTCTCAGTTTTAAAGTCCAAGGCATAAGGAATCACAAAGGTAAACCTTTTCACCGATAGATTCCTTCATATTTCATATTTGTAATATCAGCTTTAATATGCTTAATTTCGGCCAAGGAGTGAAATATTATCGTTCAAAGAACTCCATAAAAGGAACACTGCGATTAACTGGGTGTCATCAAAAAATATTATTAGATGTCGATAACCAAGAAAGTAGAAAAAATACAAATATTTGAAATATATATATTCTGAACTTAACAATGAAATGACTTTTATTAGCATAGTAAATACGGCTAAATTTTGATAAAGTGAAAAAATGGTTAGCAAAGGAGAAGAACCCGCAAAAGGATTTGACTCACGAACGATAAAGGTAAATACATTCAGCGAAAAAAAATTTGAATAAAAGAGAAAATTTTGTATGCCACTTTAGCAAAGAGCAATTGCGAAATGCGATTTAATTAACAATTTATTTTCAAAAGCGAATATAATTACATTTGAATAAATTACAAAATCGGAAGCGTAAAAATATTGCTTACAAGAACTTTTAGCTGGGCTCGAGAAAATTGAAACGATTGCTGAAGTCGTTTCAGTGCCACTTTCCTCGTCAGTACCCAATTTGGGAGAAGAACTACCAGAACGACCTGATTCAGTAGTTGAGAGACGACATTGAAGCATAGCGTAAGTAGTTTCAAGCTGCTCTACCATTGATTCGTCTTCGATTGGTACCGAATGATGAAGACCAGGATCTTTAAACCAAATTCCACGAAGTATACTTGTTGGCCCGGTATGAGCTATAGAAAAGATTATCAGCGCACTTAGCAGAACGCCACCTGAAACACTTACATTCCCAATATATGGGGTAGCATTGTTTCGTGACAACGTCTACTTCATACAAGCCGTCACGAACAACAAGTGGTTTAAAATTATCGTCAGTTTCGCTGGAAAATCCATTCTTACACTTAAGTAAGCGAAGATAAGTAAGCTCGATTTTAATGGAATCATATCCATTAAAAGCAACCCATTTCTTCGCGATCTCATCTTTGTAAAACCAGCGAACTTTAGATGGACTGAGTTGAAATTGTTCTTCAGCCTCGAAAAACGTATTATTAGATTCAATAATTTCATGAGCAGGCATGGAAGACATCAAAAAGTGTAAAATTGTTTCCGTGTACGCGATTATCAGTTATGAATGTTAATAATTGCTTTAACCAACCAGAAGCTTGCTATTCATTCGGCGAACTGCATGTTAACCTTCAAAGTTATTTATACAAAAATTAATTACATGAAAACATTTATATTATTAGAAAAAAATAAGCAATTATAAGACGACAATTTATTATAATTTTGATTATCTAATTACGATTTTATAATAAATTTTTAAATAAAATTCAATACTAATTGCCATAATGTTGCAACCAGTTATTCAATTCAATAAGACTATTATAATTATCTCAGTAAAGAACTAAAGTACAAAAATGATTTCATTTGGTAGTTTTTCACTTTTAAAAGGTAGCTTTTGTCACTTTTAGTAAATTCACATACACTATAATTATTTCTGAAAATAGATTCCTAATAATAATTTATACTCTATGTCATGGGATTCCACAAATCCTGACTTTATTCGTCCAGCCATATTAAATTGTTATCAAAAGTCTTTTTCAAAAGACTATAGAAACTCAATGCTTTGATGTAATCGCTTATCAGAGGGATGTGATCCTCTTCAAACTAATGGTCAGCATGCTTGTTGTTGAGCCGACCTATAACTTTTAACAAGGTCGACTATAGGGACAAGCATCCATTTTTAGTTTTTAGTTTAGAAAAAGGAAGCAAGAAAGGGAATAAAAAGGTGATCGTACTATCAGAGTACGTGACAGGACGGCATCCAGGCTAGTAACATATAGATAGCCATTTCGCGACACACTTCATTCCCATTGTCCTTCTTTTCATAAAGGGTACATCCTATCAAATGGTGTGAACGCCAGTTCCCTCTAGTTTCGCTTTTATTTACAGTTTATGTATCGTAACTTATTATCCCAAGAGTTCCAGGTGTCACGGGTTGGATCTTTTTCAATGTATTCATAAAGTGAATAGAAAGACCAGCAGTATTGATTGAAATTGCCCGAAAGAGAATTTGTGTGATGTAGTTCAAAGTAGAAACAATCTCATAAGTAAAACGTCTGTTAGAGATTGGACGGAAAATTCATCTAAAATAATAGTCTTCCCTAAGATTAACAATGAAGCCAAGAATTGAATTGAGCAAATTTTCACTGAGATGAAAAAAGAAAGGCGAAAATTAGTAGCAGTAGGCATGGAACACTGGAAGAGAAGGGAAAGGGCACGTACTAATAGAGTGCAACTTATAAAATAAAGATAGGAGAGCGCGAATTGTAATTATTGTTAGATATGCTCCTTGGAGAATATGCTATTAAAGGACGATTTTCACACCTAATAACCAGCAATAATGTTAGACGTGGCTGGCTTATCTAAATCTACTGTAAACGGAAGCTATTAACACACTGGAAAGATGACACTCTGCAGTAAAGTTTTTTCAAAAAGTTTACATGTTTTTGTCAACAACATCTATATTTCTCTACTCAGACCGTCAAGATCATCTTTTAGCCCCTTGGCATACCATAGGAAGCGTACACTACATACTTGCTTATTAGAGTACACCACATAGAAAGGGGGAGCAAGAAGTAGCGTATTTATTTGACAGATAGAAGTATAATCAAGAATAATAGAGCACGATGGATGAATGGAAAATTGAATTGTGTTGTGCCAAAATACTAACTCAAAGGGCGAAAGTGTGAGGACCTAGCCAATGGATAAACCGAAGTCTCACGTTAGGCATTTCCCATCAGTCCTCGTAGTGCGCCCTTGTTACGTATGTGTTACCGACTTAATAAACGGAATCTGAATTTACTAGGTACTTATTTACCGACTGATTCATTTTTGACTTGATTATCTCGATTCACCTGTATTAAGTGGCGGCCAAAAGATGAGGGAAACAACGATCATTCTAACACATTCTACTTTTCTATTCAATTCAAAGCCCCTTTTTCTTGCACTAGTGAGTGCGTCGGCAGGCAGACCGAACACGATTTTAAGAATTCCATGAAAGTGGCACACATGAGACGATTCCGGCGTCCACAACCAAATTTGATCAATTAACGTCTGGGCCACTAGTACTTAAGATGGTACACCATTTCTGGAATACTCCTTAAGAACAATTGTTTTGGGATTTCTTATCGGAACTCAGGTATAAATTATTTTACCTATGGTGCTCTACTTTTGGAATACTCAATGAGAGCAATAGTTTTGGAAGAAATTGGGAATGAGTAGTAATGATTCGTAATACATACTGACTAAATCTACACTTTATTATGACTTAATAAAGTGGTAATCAGTGTGTCCTGCGCCATTTTGATGTTCTCATGACCTCTCATTACTGATTGCTTTGCATGACTGAAAATGTGTTAAATTTTTCTTCATTTCACCAGGACTCTAGACAGCTTTTCTTTTAACATTGGATTTATTTCAGAATGTAAGTGCTAATGAATTGTACTCATCTTAAATAAGTTGAAACGACAAGCTTAAAACTCTCTCTGTCTAACTAGTATAAATCAAGTCCAGTCTATTCCTGTGGGTGTTCCATCTAAGCTCACTTTCCTCTCTGTATTGGCCTCATACTCTCTCCTTCTACTCTCCACTTTCACTTTTCAACTATAACAATAAGCTGTCGAAAAGTTAACCTGAATGCTGAGTTGTATTTGAGGAACTCACTACTATTCAACATGATTCGAGCCTATGATCTACGGCTTGACGAATCGACTAGATTTCGCTACGGAAGAGCATTGGAACAAGCGGAATACGCAAACTCGATGCCACCAGATGAGTTGCTTGCACATACATATATTACAATATGAACAAATATTTGAAAGAAGCATGAAAGGTTTAAAGTTGCGTTTGATTCCTCTACTCAGACGACCATCGAGCAACAATTTTATCACCACTAACAACGCCAAAGAAGCCAATTTCCCTAGTATCCATATCAAGTGGTACTTCTGCATTCTCAAACCCAGGTCGAGAACCAATCGTCACGAGATCAATACTTGCTGTAGATGGTAGATGAAAGAGACGACGAACGAGTGATCTAAGATGCTTCACAGTCATCCGAGATGGAAGACGTCTAACCACTTCGAGATTCCTTCCATTTGGCGGCTCGCAAGATATGATTAGCTCAATTAACCCTTCTTTTAGTGAACGAATGATTGTCTACAATCGAACACGTTCAAATCAAACTCTGATCAAGCAGATATTGCTTTTCTAACGTACCTTCGTTTCATCCTGATCCGGAGCCCCATGCTTATCGCAAAGGGCTTTGAATGTGGGATACTTCCTTTCAAACTCAAGCCTTGTCTCTTCCCCCAGCTTTCCAGATTCTATCCACGCCTTACCGTAGCACTTTAGAAAGTCCAATTCAGCTCCTCTTCTCTCATTGCGTTCAATGTCCTGTCTATTGAGGCACTTCAATTTGGGAAGACGAGCAATCATTTCTTGTCGTGCAATTTCCCTGTAAGAAGAGTGGCTGTTAGGGAAAAGCAAGCACTACTTACGGTAAAAGTGATTCTATAATGGGGTTTTGGGAGAGGATTAAGTTAGTAAGGGAGGGAAGTCGATCGAGTTCGTTTACTGTTTCCCAATCATTAATGAGATTATCCCTTAGAGTTAACGCCTCCAAATTAGGAAAGACAATTTTTTCCACAGGAAGATTCAACTTAGAGAATTTGTTTCCACTCAAAATTAGGTTTTTTAAGTTTTTCGAGTCACCAAATGCGGCCAACACACAAGAAAAATTTGTTAATCCAGTTGCCGTCAAGTCAACTTCAGTAAGTTTAAACAAAAGCGGAGTAAGTCGACTACCAAGATCAGACAAAGGATCTGGGAGATCACCAAGCTATTAGACAATTAAATTAAAAGGAAATAAATTTGTTACAAACCTCATTGTAAGCTATACATAGCTCTTGCAGTGATGGCATCCAACTTAAAATTCGTGTAATTTCATCCCAACCAAATTTAAAACCATCTTTCTCTGAGGGCATCTGCACTGTAACTAAACGAGTAAGAGATTTGAATGCCGAAGAACATAAGGCTTCGGCTTTTTCAACATCACTGTCAATGTCTAGAATCAAACGACGTTTCGGTTCAAAGATATCGGAGAGCTCATCCTCCGTAGATCTTGGAAGTCTTAGGTAATTTGACCCAACATTCAATTTTTTCAACAGTGGAAGCTGTCTGCAAATCTAATCATTTTGAAATTTATATAAGATACGAGGTTACATGAGCAATATCAACCCATTTAGAGAAGAGACACCGTGATATATCCAGTTCACGAAGAAAGGGCAAGTATTGAGTCAAACTCTGAGTAGATTCAGGCCATAGTGAAAGGACATCTTTTTCCAATACCTCATTTTCTTTCAAACCACGAAAGACCGGCATATCTTGAAGGCAGACAGATCGTAATCGAGAAAGCTTTTCTGCAACTCCCTTTGCTCCACAGGTTCCATGATCGTAAGAATCTCCAGAAGAGTTGGTAAATATTTCAACTGTAAATGGAGTGTCTGTTGATGCTTTATGATCATCGAAATACTGAGATTCTGTCACAGATAAATCCATAGTTGCCTTCAGGTATCCTGCAGTAGCACTTTCTAACTTAATGCCAGTTAAGGGATCACCACCAGCTTGAAAAAGAGCTGGATTTTTTGTGATCATCTGGCATTCAACACAGAGGACGTAATGTGTCGTTAAGGCTTCCTCTAAACTCGAACCAAGAGAGGCTTTTTCTGGCCTATGACAAAGTAAGTTACCAGTCGTCATATACAAAAATATAAGCAATACTTATAAAACTTACTTTAAGAATGAACCAGAAGTTGGACTATGAGTATTAAAATACTTAGTACCCTTGAAAGACCCATCATGGCGGCCGTTTTTAGAATTATCCCAGTCTACCCCAAGCCAAATGAGCTTAGAGTCAGCTAATGGACCAACATATTTAATCGTTCCAAACTGTTCGTCTTTAACTATGCGACACCCAACAAGATTCTGCGAAATATCCGTGATTTTGCCCGTGCTGGTTCCTTCATAAATGTTTGCAAATCTTGGAGGAGAACTAGAAACCCCAGACATAGTGACAAAATAAGAGTAGCTAATCCAAATAATCGCTCTATTCTTATTGGTTTCTAGGACAAAAGTGGGTCTGTAAAACAAACGCTCGAACAAATTTGTGTTAATGGTTTTTTAAACTCAATTATTATATATATTGAATATATAAATATTCGGCTAGTTGTCGACATTATAAACATCTCACATGTCGTCTGCCGTTTTGTTAATAAATTAATAATCAATAATGTATTTCATATACTTACTAACACAAAGGAACTTACAAAGTACATAGGCAGTCCATTCCAGTTGCTTTTAAGTTGATGCGATTTTAAATACTATTCTATTATTGTCAGAGAAAAGTGGCAAATGTTCAATACAACTGCTTAGGCGTGGTAATAGCTTAGTAAGTATTTCCTGCTTATAAATAATTCCTTATAGATAATGTTAATGTTATGGTCTGCTCAGACGTTTGCGTGGCGACAAGTTCCATTGTGAAAACTTTGTTTAATTAACATGTAATACATACATAGAAGTGATAATCTGCCACAAAGATTAAATCTTAACAAAGTGAAATGGTGCGTTTCCACAATCGCTTTTAGTCAGCAGTTTTATTCAGGCAACTACTGTCTATTTCCGGTGTTTATTTGCGTAGTATGGACTTTGCATTGTAAAGTAGCTTTAAATTGAGCCTGAAACAACGGTAATCTTTATTATTTACTATTCGGCATGGAATTATTTTCCCTTTCTTTGCTTTTGCGTAAACATTATTCGGCCAAGCCATTATTTCCTTTGTGGTGCAGTTGACATGCTTTTTAACGCTGCCGAAACCCAGATGCTCGATGGCCATCAGTGAGCGGAATTACTGGCCTCTTGAGAAATCTGAGTATTTAATAGAGTGGTTTAATTCAGATTTTCTTTTTGATTCACTTTGATGTTTTGGATCTTTACTAGGCCAATGCCATATATGTCCTTTGAATGAACTTCGGAGCTAAATACTTCGGATAATGACGTCATAAGATTTATTTCAATTATTATACCCCGACCCTATCTTCACCATTCGAAACGATTTAAGTGCAGACCTCCTATTAAGTTATATTTTATGACTCTTAGATCGTCTTAGTGTGGTCAAACTCACCAATACGAAATTAGTCCAGCCATTTTCGCAAATAGCAATGTATGTATGTCGGCCGTTAGGAAAGTTTGAGAGATGCACTTGCAGATTTATGGAGCTCCATCATTAATAACAATCTGTTCATTCCATAAACCTAAAAATGATAATAATTTTTTTATTTTATGTGTTTTTCATCTGTTGAGGTATTTATATACAGGCACTCACACAGCTTAACCTCTCGCAGATACTGTGGTCGAGATCATATTAACAATCAATCCTTTTTAGTTGTCAGATGTTGATGGACTTCTTTCTACTAACTGGACACATCTTTGATTTTCCCTATCCAACTTCTTATAGGGGAGCTCACGAACCTGGGGTGGAAAATATTTCACATACTTTCCACCACCCTTGATTAGTTATTTTAAACCCATTTCATTATGTATAACGCACTAAAAACAGTAATGAATGCTTTAATCATAAAACGAGTCACCAAAATTTTGGCTTTTTGTTTATTGGTTAACTTTATTGTGTCCTTCGGATACGCAGTCTGTTTACCTTCAAACGCTATTTATATTTACATGACCTTTCACTCACATATACAAATAATGTACCACTTACAGAATTACGGGCTTTCTTTTGCTTGACTGCTCTGGGTGCTGACGAAGATTATACTTGACATCAAGTAAAGTCTCGTCCAAAGACTACAGTCACTGGCGTCTGGTGATGGAAAGGCTCCAGTGCTGCAGTTTGAAGAAATCGGCCGTTTCTGTCGTAGTTACTTAGTGTAACGCAAGAGAGGAATGCAAGTGAATATCATTGGTTCGGACTGGGTGGTTCCCGAAAGAGAACGGAAATATACAGCTCTCTGACATGGTGGTGGTCAGTGACTCGACCAATGCAAGCTTCTTCTCTATATTAATTCATAGTGTGATCCAAACATAGGCATAAAAATAATACTTTATTTATCGCAGTGTCTTCAGTGTGACTTACACTATCGAGATTATTCATGTGGTGAAATCAATTTTTTAATTTATTGTGACTTGTTATATGAAGCAAATTTGTACCTCTCCATCAAAGATAGTTCAATAATGAAATATTGCCCCAGTTTATTGGACTTCGGTTTGATTAATAGGCCAGAAGTCAAGAAAATATATCAGAGAGAAAATAGTCACCTTTATTGATAAAGCTCCTATGAGGCCGTTGACAGATGTGTTAATTCGTCCTGTCATGCATTCCTAAGTGTCAAGACCATTGATCTTTTGACATAAAGGCATAGACACTACCTGTGTGATGTGCAATGCAACTATCATAAAGTAAGATCTTCCACTAATACAACTCTAAGAGAAGTCTCTTTCCTGCCAAGACCTGGATACGCAGAACCACAGAGGAAAGACAGAAGTGTGGTTGCACCCATGAAACTGTATCAACTAAAAAAAGACTAAGTCTAAATGAAACCAGGTCGCCTTAGTATTAGTGATGTTAATGCTCAAAACATCATTAGGCTGCCAACATTTATGTCCCGAGCAACGTACTTTCGCATTTCGATAGAGACGATGAACGACTTCGCATCAACCTTCAAGTACCTATCATACTGAGGCAGAGCATAAACACTGCAACTTTGAGCTTTTTATCGTCAGCTTTGTACCACATACTTCACAGGATTGAGTTCATCAATAACCCACTAACTTATCATCATCACAAAAATTGTCAGTGCATAGTATTTCTACATTTTATTTTTATGACAGCATTATCACTTGTAACTTACAAAGTGTGAGCCAACTGATAAGATTCAAAGGGTGTAGTCAGACACAGGTAAAAGTTACTATTAATAGATTAATCCATAAATTTGCGGGAACTTCCATTCAAATAGCACTAAGGAAATCGGAAGACCCTTGGGGTAACTCAAAACTAACTACTTTCTCAATTAGGCTTTGCTAAATTTCATAAACCGACAAGAAAGACTCACATGAGTCGTTTAAAGCTGGCTAGTTGTATGTTGAAAGTTGAATGGAATTATTTTCATCATTTAATATGAACGTTGCAGAAACTGTAATTAACAACACTAGCGAACAAGGCTTTAGGAATGAATTACGCATCTATCCGTGAACTATTAATACAACTTGACTAAGAGCGTTATCAGCACTATTTACTATTGGCTAACTCAAAGGCAAGTCCTTCGACTGACTAAAGTTATATGCAAGTCAGTGTGATAAACAAAGCATATAGCCGCTTACGTGCTGGTCATCACTCGCTGTTTTATTAGTGGACGTTGCAGTCGCGTCAAATGCACAGTCTGGGCTTCTTGCTCTTCGTGGCATCAACCCAATTAGAATTCGCAAATGGACGTGGAATTGTCGTTCCGTGGGCAGACCTATATCGTCCGTCGTATAAACCAACCGTCGTGATTAGTACATGGCCATTACTTGAACCAGCAAGAAGTGCTTTTAAAGTTCTTCAGAGCGGCGGAAGGCCTGTAGAAGCAGTAGTGGCAGGATGTACAGTGGCTGAAGCTGATCCAAACGTCACCAGCGTTGGCTATGGCGGATCTCCTGATGAAATTGGAAATACGACCTTGGATGCTATGGTCATGGATGGCGACACTATGAATGTAAGCCGAGTTATCAATTCAGTTTTTTATGCAAATAAAATTCGAAGATTTTATTTCATTTCAAACGAAACTAAAATCTAATTGCGAGAAGTTGAGGAACCCGAGGAATCAAACCTTATTCGAGATGCAGATTATTCTTTTCAAGTTTTGTGGGAAATGTAAGTGGCCTGATCCCGTCTGATTTCGTTACCATCCTTTCATCATACAGATCATCCACACTCAATCAGTTGTTGTCATCTGCAGTGGAATATTCATTTCATGGTCATTTTTTAAAGAAGTTTCGATACACCTTACAGCTACCGTTGTTGCGGGATGATGCAAGACTAATTTAATTATAATTTACTTGTTAAACACCTGATTTACACTGCAGTGACATTGGTTAACTTTATGTGTGAACATCCGTAGATCTAACTTTTCTTGGAAGATAGGATTTTTTGTAGCACTTTAGTCAATTCATCAGCTTACTCATATGAGCGTGACTAGGTGTTTAGTTTTCTCCTTGACAGAGTGAACAGTAAGTGGGTGTATATAATTAATCATCCTTCTAATTTCTTTCAATTCTCACAACGCAATAAGACGGGGTGGGGAAAGAAGCTCTCGGCTGGAGAACTTTATTGGGAATAGGGAGAAAGATCGGAGAGATGAGCGTATGTGAATGTGGCATGTGTGTGTTTTTACTTGGCTAATTATGTAGGATGATAGTCAATGAACCAATGAACTTGAATATATAGATTAAGAACTGGTAGCAGTGGCATTACCCAACGTCAGTCTGACTCGATCGACAGATAGTTTGAGTAAAGCCTTTCCAACTCCAACATTTCCAGCACTTTGTGGGAGGTCAGACTGAATAGATCGTCTGGATTGGCCAAGTGATATCGAATTTCTTCACTAAGCGGTTTACACAGAGGTTCCTAAGTGTTTCTGGGGACATTTATAAGTAATAACTTTCCATTTGTTTGTCTCCACTGTAAGGTCTCCCTATTACAACATGCAATTCGATTGCTGCCATTCTGTCCCTGAGTAATTAATGAAAAATAGACTAATTGAGACTTTGTAATGCTTTGATAGATTTTCCCTCCTCATTATTTACTTCACTTACATTTTGCCAACGACTCATCTTTCTTTTCGTTTTACTTTCATCTTCACCGTATTTGTACTGGCTGTATTTCCAACTGATTAATGGCAACCTACGTAGTGTCATGTATCTCCAATATAAATACGCAAGCATCGTTTATGTTTTCACCCTATCTTGTGGTGAAATGTGTTAAAGATTGTGTCATTCATTGAACTCATACTAATCGTGCTATGCAAATCTTATCTCACGTGCCAGTGCAGGCTAGTTCGTATTTAGGTTATAATAATCACCAACTGAATTCTGTTTGCTTACTGAAAACTAATTAATTTCCACCCCAAAGATTAGATGACTTCCTTGGAAATATGATAAATGGGAGGGGGCTGAGTTGGCATATGATTTCAGGAAAACCTGACGAGTCCTCACTTTATCGAAGCAGTACGCCAAACGCTGGCAAACATAGGTTTTATTTATTTATTTATTTATTTCAAATGGCAGGCGTTTTGATAGTTTTCATTAGCCCTTTAGTTGACTTCAGGCTTCACAGAGGGGAAGGAACATCAAAGTGAAAAAAAAGTCTTGGGGGGGGGGGGGGGGAGACAGAAGAGTGATTCAAAGATGTAAAAGAGACAGACACAAAGGTAGATAAAAAGGTGAGGTGAGTACCGTGAAAGTAGTCGAATATGGCATACAGTGGGGGTGATGGTGGTTTGGAGTCAGAAGTCAACTGCCGGTTAATAGACTTTTTTGCCGTAAGAGTATACGTTACCCAGGGTGCACCACGTGGAGGTAAGTCTATCACACACCCCGACATAGGTTTTATTATTAAGCTGAGAGCCTTTGTCATAGAATCAAATGATGGACGTACCTCAGATGGCATTTGTAATTAGTCAGTTTGGAAGAATTCGGAGATAACGATTGGCTACAAGCCAAGAGTCCCTTAGTCATTACTTCCATCTTTCCTACGTCCTATGGGTTTTATGTCCTTCCATATTTATTTGCCTTATCTATATGGTGTGCCTTAATAAGCATCTATTCGGACCTCACTGTCTAAAATAGTATTTTTAATTTTATAAATGACTTTTATTTGGTCTTTGAGTCAACAACGCGCCTGTAGAATGTTTCAATCGGCACTATAAGGCGTCGAGCGGATTTTTGTCTTGAAAATAAGCAAATGATTTGGAGGTTATTTGCCTGAAGTAACCGGTCCGAGGAAATAGCGAAGTCTTGTCTTTCAATCCGACAGTTTTGCTTCGGATTCGTTTACTCCTATTTAATCTTAAAGCCATGTTCAGTAACATTTCATGTGATTTAAATCCTTCTGGAAGAAATTAAGTTTGCTCTATTTTACGACTCCAGTGTGTTAAAATTGTAGTTGTTTGTCTTTACCTCTTTTAGGTAGGTGCCGTAGCAGGAATGCCCTACATAAAACAGGCAGCCCAAATAGCTTTAGGCGTCCTCAATTCTACTCGGCACACACTTTTGGTTGGTGAGGCCGCTACAAGGTTTGCAGAATCGCTCGGATACCATCGAACCAGTCTTAGTACAAATGAGTCCCTCTCAATTTGGCGGCAGTGGAAGAATGCCAGCTGTCAACCGAATTTTAGAATCCCGTTTGCTTGGACACCCGATCCAAACCAAAGATGTGGACCTTATCATTACAAAAATAACAGCAGTAACGGTACCTATTCCGACTTTCATGTTAAAATGTTTTCTAAAGAAATTAATAATTCCTTCATGCGGTCTTAGAGAATAATTCAAGAAAAAATAGAGATAACACGCAGACTCCTTTTCACTATCAATAGTTGAATGATCCCTAGTACTCTTGGCATTGTCTTAGAACTCAAAGATATCTATTTAATTATATCAAATGGCAGGCGTTTTGATATTTGTCATTAGCCCTTTAGTTGACTTCAGGCTTCACAGAGGGGAGGGAACATCAAAGTGAGAGGGGATGGGGTGGGACAGAAGAGTGTTTTAACGATGTAAAAGAGACAGACACAAAGGTAGAAAAAAGGTGAGGTGAGTACTGTGAAAGTGGTCGAATATGACATACAGTGGGGCGACGGTAGTTTGAAGTCAGAAGTCAACTGCCGGTTTATAGACTTTTTTCGCCGTTTGAGTATACGTTGATCCCTAGTACCCTTGGCATTGTCATAGAACTCGAAGGTCACGTACTGACTTGATCACATCTCTTCACATTGCGCCAATTATGACAGCTTAGGTAGGCGATTGAGATACGCTTGTTGGCAGAGGGGGAGCCAATCATTCTCAAGGCGCTGTGTCGTAAAGGGCGCTTTTTATGTGGTCAGACACTGAGAGTCTGAATAACCAGAAGCCGTGTTTTTAATAGATGCTTCAATGGATTCATAGAAATCGATGAGGTTGACTTCATCACAAATTTATTCTGTTAGTTAAGGGTTTGTGTGTATTTATTGGGTGAGCAACTAAATCATTGCCGTTTTTGTTGACAGATTCACTCTATACTATCTTTTGTTTTGTTAACGTGGCCAGAGCATCTAACCTATATTTTTTCTTACTGTATGGGCTTCTAGGTTAATTAGTAAAAAAAATTTTTTTGTTTAGTTCTTTAGTTTTGTTTTTTCCCAATTTAAAAATGAAAGAATAGGACGTGCACTTCCGACACATTTTATTGTATTACTTCCGAAAAGGCAAGAACGCATCGCAAGCACAAAAGAAGTTATGTGCCGTATATGGAGATGAAGCCTTAAAAGAAAGGCAGTGTCGAAATTGGTTTGAAAGATTTCGTTGCGGTGATTTTTCACTGAAAAATTCACAACGATCTGGCCGCCCAGTCGAAGTGGATGAAACCCATATCAAGGCCATTATCGATTCAAATCGTCACAGCACAACACGAGATATTGCAGAGAAGCTGCTCAATGTGTCGCATACATGCATTGAAAAAAATGAAAAACCCTTGGTTATGTCAAGAAACTTGATTTATGGATCCCTCACCAGTTAAAGGAAATTCATTTGACGCAACGGATTAGCATCTGTGATTCGCTACTGAAACGCAATGAGAATGAGAATGATCTATTTCTGAAGAACCTAGTTACTTGCGACGAAAAGTGGATAGTTTATAAGAATGTTACTCGCAAGAGATCATGGGTGAAGCAAGATCAACCAGCCCAAACAGTATCAAAAGCAGCAGAGATTCACCAAAAAAAGATTATGCTGTCAGTAGTCTGGTGGGGGGATCACAAATGAATTTTGTATTTTGAACTCATGCCGCAGAACCAAACGATAAATTCAAATGTGTATGTTGAAGAACTCGAAAAACTGAAGGATGCAATTGAAGATAAGCGGGCGGCATTATCAAATCGGAAGGGTGTTGTTTTCCATCATGATAACGCAAGGCCCCACACATCTTTGGTTACTCGGCAAAAATTATTGGAACTGGGTTGGGATGTTTGTCACACCCACCATATAGCCCTGACCTTGCGCCTTCGGATTACCATTTGTTTCGTTCCATGCAAAACTCTTTAAATGGTCAAATGTTTAACAACGCGGATGATGTCGGATCACACCTAATTCAGTTTTTTAATAACAAAGACCAGACATTTTACGAACGGGGGATTTTTACTCTGCCAGAACGATGGAAAAAGGTCATCGACAAGAACGGCCAATATCTAATTGAATAAAGTTATATTTTTAAACAAAAATTCCGAATTTGCCTTCTTATTTGAAATCGGCAATGACTTAGTTGCCAATCTAATATATGAACAGTCTGGAAAAGCACCTTATTAGGCGACCTGAACTTCAACGATGGATTGTCCCATTAGTAGACGAAAATCACCTGCTCACTATCAAGGCATGTACAAAAGAGGAAAGTATTTAAATATATTAGGTTGGGCTTAGGCACCACCTATAACCATACATTGGTACTTAAGAAAGTTATTCCTTTTCAGCCCTTCGAGGTGTCAGACCAGAGTTGGGAATTGACGAAGGGAACCACGATACGATCGGAGTGATTGCTCTGGATCAGCGAGGTCGACTGGCTGTTGGTCTGTCCACAAATGGAGCTAGATTCAGAATTCCTGGTCGTGTTGGAGATAGTCCTATCGTAGGAGCTGGAGGATATGCTGATAGCAAGGTAGTTCACTTTAAATTTAATCACAAGTTTCTTTAAATCTCTTATACTTGGTTCGAATTTAATTTCATTGAATTACTCAGGTTGGTGCCGCTGCAGGGACAGGTGACGGTGACGTCATGATGCGATTTTTGCTTTCCTTCAAGGCTGTTGAGCTCATGAGGGCTGGAAAACGTCCCTCCGACGCGTGTTCTATTAGTCTCAAGAGTGTTCGTCAGGTAAGTAAATTTTTACAATCTCTTCATACTTTATAGTTATGAGGTTTTTTACCTCATATTTGAGAGATATCTCTCCCCGTAGGTTGGGGATTAGATGCTATCGAATTCGGTCCTAGTACTTTCTTTAAGTTCAGTTTATATTAGCAAAGATAGATGGCTTTTGGGGGGTGGGGGGTGGGGGAGAAGGGAAGGAGGATAATTGTAACTTGTACTCCGTTAAGTCTTTGTAAGTTGATTAATTATCGTCGTTTCATTTTTACACATATTTAACAAGATAAGCCTGCCAGTTTTTACCTTGAATGTATTACTTAGGCTAGAGTCCACCAAACTCAGAAATATGAGATGGTTGGTGGTAGTCAGTAGATGTAAATTTTGATTATGAGTCTGACCATTTTCTTTTTATTTAAAAGCGTTAATTTAGCGGAAGGGAATATTCTGCATAGGAACCAGGTCTACTCATGTACGTTAAGATCAATAGAGGAGAATTGGCCGTTTGGTTAGCAAATATTTTTATTGACACCGGCATAATTGTCCTACCAGAACCAAATGTATAAACTCAGCGACAGATGATCCACTTCATGAAGCATGTAGGCTGCCGTCTTACTTCAAGTGCGCCGAAAATAACATGATTCCGACGAATATCAGAAAGAGAAGGCACGTTCATTTCTGAAATACGAGTTTGTTTATTTATTTATTGAAAACTACCCTATAGAGCATACTTAATTATAATATTTCAAGAGACTGTTTCGCCATCGAAAGTGTTTACATTTCTATTAAGTTTGGGTAGTATAAGCACATGTCTACTCTGTGGTTTATTTACAGAATTTGGTGCTTAGATTGAATTGATTGAAAGTCAATTTTGTATAAAAACAATGCGTTTTTTAGCTATTGAAGTATTTGACATTATATTCTGGCTAAGAATCATTTGCTAAGAGGACAAATAGGATGATAATAAAATTTTATTATTTGTAAAATATAATTGCTAATATTTATTTTAATTGTCATGTATTTCAATCGATTTTTTTCATAATCACCCATTAGCACTATTTTCACTTCTTTTAGAAAGGCACTTGGTATGGCGCATTGATTGCCCTGAATGCCGATGGTCAATATGGGGCTGCGTGTGTTGGCTTCAAGAGCTTCGCTTTCGTTGTGCAAAACTCCCACTCTGCGAAGAATGGCAAAATAATCAATGTCAAATGCCTGGCGTAGTCTGAACTTGCAAATGAAATACCACGCTCCCCAATTGATACTGTTCCCCATTTAAGTGTACTTACCAACCTCTACGAGGAATCCCCACGATAGGGAAGATAATTGATTCGCCTATGAATTTCTCTTAAAATTAAGGCTGCATACATATATAGGTTGTAGCGGATTGCTACCTTAGTAAAGCCTGACTGACTCAGAAATCTCTATGGCAGATTCTCCAACATCTAGCTAGACTCCCAGAACCAGCTAAGCTATAACCAAGCTATGAAAGGAAACAGACGTGTAGCACGAAGCACGTTTTTCAGTACGTATATTGTGGATAAAGTGTACACGCAGGGAGCTACTCATGATCAGGATAGGGGATTAGGTTAAACAGAGGTTGATGATTGGTCACTGTTTGTACGATCGCTGCACACAGAGTTGTAGGGCCGCACCTCCCAATCCTGGCGAGCAGACATGTAGGCATACGATGACGCACAGAGCGATAACGTGTCCCACAAGGTTAGGGATTTTATTAGCCTAACGAATGTAGGTTTTTCAGAAACTCTATTCCCAATTTTTCATTATTTTTATTAATTTACCACTCGATATACTTGGTTTTAGTTATTGCTTCTAACGATTTTCTAGGTGATTGCATTTATTCTTAAATAACCTCTTCAAGCACTATTCAGCCCTGATTTCAATTCATTTTCCGGAAAGGGAAAATAGTCATTATTACTTAGTTTGCATTTTACATTCCTTTCCCATACAATGTATAATCGTTTGGTGAAAGAACGCTAAAACATTTTCTGAGAAGGAAATCTTCGTGAGCTAGCCACCAGAGCAGTGAATGTGAGATTGGCCCTCCTTAAGCCTTTGAATGAGCTACTTATTCGATTGAGTGCTAAGTTAAAGACTATCTGCACATTCGAGATATCCCAACGATCGTTTAGTCATGCAAAGTGTGTAGAAATACGAAACAAAGCATAGGAATACAAAATTTCTTCCACCGCAATTCTTTTTCCAGTTGGCTTCATAGTGGAGAACAAAATTTACTTGTTTTCGAAAATATCGAATCCAAAACCTGAAATACATTAATAATAGCTATTTCTTTGTATTCAGTCTTGAAATCAACAAGGTATCATTCGGCTTCATGCATCGCCCTATTCAAGTGAATTTTTAGCCAGTCAAGTTCTGTCTTCGTTTTGATCGAATAGACTTAACAGATATTTGAATTTTAATTTTGGTATGTCCGACTGTTTGAAGTCGAAAATTAGAATACGATTAATTCAGCTGACAGGAACTTCTCCAAAAAAAACATTCAACAAGAAATCGTATTATTTGTGTTTAATCAATCAACTTTAAAGCATACTGTGGTAGTGCAGGATATTTCGTAATTACATTAAGTCAACTTTAGGTTAATACTCTGTTAAGGGTCGGATCGTAATAAATATTTGTAAAAAATTGATTTTTGAGATGGAACTTTGAGGATTGAAGTGAAATGTCTTCGACGCTTGGAGCAATTATTACTATCAGGATAATCTTTTAGACTCTCCTGATTTAAGGCCTCTGAGAGCGCTTGCTTGTTGTTCAAAATATCTTAATGCGTGAATACCGATAGTGCAAGGACATGGATTTGAATTTTTCTAATCTTCCATTACCAAAAACATTCACCATTTAATTAAGTATTTTGATTTTAATTGTTTTATATCCTGGAGGAGTATCTGGTCTACTTTAAAAGCTAGAACTTTTGGATACACATAACTTATTTATTTATTTATATCAAATGGCAGGCGTCTTGATGGTTATCATTAGCCCTTTAGTTGACTTCAGGCTTCACAGAGAGGAAGGAACATCAAATTGAAAAAAATCGAAAGGAGGGGGGGACAGAAGAGTGTTTCAAAGATGTAAAAGAGACAGACACAAAGGTAGAAAAAAGGTGAGGTGAGTACTGTGGAAGTAGTCGAATATGACATACAGTGGGGTCATGGTAGTTTGAAGTCAGAAGTCAACTGCCAGTTAATAGACTTTTTTGACTTATGAGTATACGTTGCCCAGGGTGCACCATGTGTAGGTAAGTCTATCGCGCACCCCAGGGAAAAATAATTTCTTGCCTATGTCGGATTCCTATTAAATTTATGTCCATTACGAAACTTTTACCTTCATAAGGTTAAATGTCAAAAATAATCTAAACTTGCGTTAACAGAAAAAATCCTCAAATGCTTTTGCAATGCCATGAACACTAATATATGAAAGTATTATCGTTCCTTATATAAGAAGAACCCCTTATATCAAACGGATTTCTTGCCTTTGGACAGTTAACTAAGTATAAAACGATTCTGATACTGATATTTGTATCTACACTTGAGCACCTCAACGAGAGATCTATTATTTTAAAATAAAAATCGAAATTTTTGAATTAAGTTTCCCTTCAGCATAAGTGCATAACAAATCCAAATTAAAGCAAATTTTGTCTTCTCACTTACTGAACGGGCCTTTCCCTCATGAAGGGGGTTTAATGAGACTCTGTTTGACAGAGAGACAAACACTAACATAATCTGTTTCAAAACCAGTAAAATTAGCTATTCTTGCTGATAATTAATTTATTACTTCTTTCGAGACAACCAGACTGTTGTCGGTTTTAATGGACGCAAGAATGTTCTAACTAAATATTTTGGATTGTAATCAATTGGAAGAAAAATAGGAGATGCAATTGTGTCCAACACGTTGTAAAATATGGCAACTGAAGGTGATTTTTGTTGAAAATGTAACTTTTGAGCTATCATGTCATGACCAAAGTCATAAATTCAAATAAAAAACGCCTTTGTAGCGGATTGCTACTTTCTTAAAGCCTGACTGACTCAGAAATCTCTATGGCAGATCCTCCTACATCTAGCTAGACTCCCAGAACCAGCTAAGCTATAGCCCAGCTATAAAGGAAACAGACATGTAGCGCGGAACACGTTTATTCAGGACGTATATTGCGGATCAAGTGTGTACACGCAGGGAGCTACTCATGATCAGGATGGGCCATTAGGTTAAACAGAGCTTGATGATTGGTACT